GCAGCAGGTGCGATAAGGCTGCACCTTCCGGAATGTTAAAGACAACTCCCGTCTCACTCCGAGAACGATAATACATGCTTGCAAGTGGTGCCCTTTAGGCCAAGCATCGAGGTTTGGGGAGTGTTGAGGTGTAGGGCCGGGTCACGAGTTACCAGCCGAGCTGTATGGTTTTGGCATGACAGTGTTGGTGGCAGGAACAATGTCAAGGCGAATGTCACGATGTGGTAACGAAATACTACTGGGTGAAATTGGCGGACCACGTTTGTACGCGGTAGAGGTTGCGGAGAATCACTCTACAGTGATGAGAGCTTAACTATGTGGGAGGTCATGGGTGGTATGATTGATTGTAGCTTTCTTTCTAATTGCATGTTCAAAGGGCAAAACAGCAAGAGTTTCAATAAGAAAGTAGAGAACAACGGATACAATGGCAATGACAGAGTTGACTATACCTGGAGCCAAGCAAGCAAGCATGTCAACGTCTACCACAACACGAGGGCAGCTTGCCAGCGCAGCAAGTCGGCGGTGTGCCAACGTGGCTGGAAGGCGCCTTGCTAGCACTACAAGTCTGTGACCTGCCAGCGCTACACCAGGGCGGCTTGCCAATCTTCAGCAAGGCGGCTTGGCATTGTTGTAGTCGAAGGTGACTACAGCGTACATGTGCGCACCCACTTCGCAGGTGCTGATAGATTGTTAAACACGTCGTGCACCATCACGTAAATTGCACAAGTGCCAATCCGGCCACGTGTCGACAGTTGCGCTAGATGTTCCACATCGACCTCGTGCCCACATGATGTTGCCACGTAGGTTGGCTGCGCCAAAACAACTTGGTCGGTATTCGCGTACCCCACAAAGCTTCCTCGACCAGGTTACGCGGTCGACCAAAGGAAGGTGCCAACGCCCGCAAGTCGGTGCCCACAAGTCGGCGTCATGTCGACGAATACCTTCGTTGACCGCCGAGGCAGGGCACCGTAACCTAGACATGAGCAACGAGCGAACCGAACACGTTTGTCTCGAACAGTTTGCGAACACTTGGTCAATTCGAACCGAACCGAACACGTTTGACTCGAACAGTTTTCTTGAATGTTAGTGTTCCCCGTTCGAGTATAGGGTCGAACAGTTTTGAGGCAAGGCCGAACACTAAGGTGTTTGACCCGAACTCGAACAGTTTGCCTTGGGGGGTTCTTTCAGTATAGTCACATTCAGGCAGGGCGAGTGTACTAGAATCCATATCACGTTCCCTATATCCCTACAAGTGATATAGTTAGGCTTGGCACAGATCTGCTGGATATCCAATTTCGCCTTGCTAAACTCCAACCTAAATCGAAATGCCCTTTGTTCCTTTTGTTAACCGTCTCCTACCCTAATCCAACCTTATACCTAACGTTTCCAGCCACACTGTGGAATTTGAACCGTAGGAATGTGGTAGTTTAAGTGGGTAGGGGGCCGAATGCCATCCTTAGGCTATATCGACGATTGAGCTCATTCTTGAGCTCAATTGTCGCCCTCTCCTTTTAGATCCAACCAGCGCGTCAAACTTTGACGCGCTGAATTTTCCCTCGAACACCTAGGTGTTTGCGACAAACACATTCTGTTCGCGAACACCTAGGTGTTCGTGCATTTTTCTGCACACGAACACTCGAACAGTCGAACATGTTCGTGACGAACACCAAGGTGTTCGTCGCAAACAATTTTGGGCAAAAAAATCAGTCGAACACGTTCGGGTCGAACACTTTCAAGTCGAACCGAACAAGGGTTCGAATTTTTGCTCATGTCTACGCCGTAACCGAATTCGATGTGGTCAACTTCGGCTTGCTCCTCCAAGTCAGCATCGACCACAAAGTCAGCTACTTCACTCATCAGAATCCGCTTCACCAAAGTCAGGTAACTGCCAAAGTCAACTCCAGTGAGGTCAGCCAACTAAGCTTCTTGCTCCTCCAAGTCGGCGCCAACCACGAAGGCTAGTCGTCTGCACACCTTGCAAGTCGGACGACGAAGTTAGCTTCACCTTAGCAAGGGCGGGGCATTTTCTCCTCAACACTCCCCTGCCCAGCTCAAGCTTAGGCACCCACACACGCAACTCCACCCAGAAATAAAGTAATAGAGTACAAGGGGATATCATCGGCATGCACATCCAGCACGCCATTCACCGCACCAACCATGCTGAAGGGCATGGCGCCTACTGCTGCACATCGTTGTCGCCGTTGCCAATGTCGGCCAGGCAAACATGGCCGACCGCAACGGAGCACAGGTTGAAGACCGGGAAGTGCAACGCCTTCGTGTGGAAGTTCACCGGCTGCTCTGTAGTTGGAATGTACTAGAGCACAGCCCTTTTGCGCTTCACCATCTGCTGCGGCTAAACGTAGCGTCGCTCCATGTGCTTAAGGTTGCCCTTTGACCTTGGAGTACAGGGTTCTTAGCTAAAGAAGTAGCACCCTGACTATCACAAAAGAGTGGGCTGGGTCCTTGCTGCTCCTCCCTCAACTCATGTATGGCACAAAATAGTGCCATGTACTCGGACTCTACCAAACTCAATGCTTGGTCAACCTGTTTCTTGCTCAAACAAAATGCTTGGCCTCCACCAACATTGTAAATGAAGCCTCCCACATTTATCACGTCCTCTGGTTTTGATGTCCAAGTGGCATTGGAGAACAACTAGAGCTCAATACCACCTGTGTCGTTTTGATGCCTTTTTGCCGCCGCAGAGTATTCCAGCCCAACCACCGCAGCAAAAGCTTAACCCTTTTGTCGTATTGACGTAACAAAATGCCTTTCTGTACGCAAAGGTCGACGCGCTGATTTTCATCTTACGGTCGATGACCAATGGCGACGGTGACAATCGTGTGTATTAAGTAGGTCTTACAACTTTGGCAGCCACACCTCAAACAATCCTCCTTGACATCGCCTTCGTCCAGCTGCCACATGACTCTGAAATGTCAAGTCTTCACCTTTTCGGCAATTACATGCTACTCACCATCTACGTGGATAGCCTCTTAAATATTGAGACTAGCAACAAACGTTTGTGAAAAGGCCATCACTATCTTGATATTTACCCTTGTGGCCCATCACTTCCGTCGAAATTCAATCTCCTTCTACATACAAATTCCGCACCAATCACAATCACTTCAGCTCCTACACTCAATTGATCAATCTTGTGGCGATCTTATCAAGGACCAATCAAATTGTAATAATTTGGTTGTTGAATTTCCTTCTCGCACTATATAAATCTGCTCAAGGAAGCTCTACTTTTGCCGTCACAAGGAGATCCACGACTGCATCATTAGTCTGGTGAATCCCTTGCTCTTCATAGTCGGACCCTTAAATTGACCACAGTCAGGCCCCTAAAAGCCATGTTTTGCCACGAATTTGCAGAATGACCCCTCTCCATCCCTTACAAGTAGAATGGCTTGCACAAAACACTTTTATCAACTCATTCTTCCCCAAGTTCATGTAGAAGGATCAGATATATTTCCTCACAGACTTCTACTAGAAACAAACCAAAGAAAGTGAACAACGTTGCCCCCCCAATAATAAAAGCTTGTGCACAGACTTCTAGTAGAAACAAACCAAAGAAAGTGAACAACGTTGCCCCCCAATAATAAAAGCTTGTGCACTACCATGCAGGGCCTACCTTTTAACTTCTAATGATTAGCAGTGTAGCCCTTTTCAAAACCCTGTTCAATAGTGTGTTGTTTTTGGAAACACTGATGGATCAGTGTAACTTTCCGTTTTGAAAATTTTACCCAGAGTCAACAGTGTAAGTTTTATTTTACCCTGATTGTACTATAGGTTGTTCAGTATATGATGGTGTGCTGCAAGTAGATATGGAGGTGGGGGGAGAGTGTGAGAGTTTGGTTGGTGTCGACCTGGTTTTGGTCGGTGTGGGTTCGTTTCGATATTGTCTTGAGCCCTGCCCGGCCCATCGCGCCTTCCGCGCATGCCCTGCCCTGCAACACGCCGCCTGCGCGCGGCCTGCCTTGCGTCGCGTCGCCCGCGCACTCCCTGCCCTGCGTCGCGCCGCCCGCGCGTGCCCTGCCCTACCCGTCGCGTCGCCCTACTGGCCACACGCCGGCCTGCCCTGCCCGTCGCGCCGCCCCCGTGCCCGTGCGCTGTCCTGCCCTAGCCGCGCGCTGCCCTGCCCTAGCCGCGTGCTGCCCTTCCTTGACCGTGTGCCACGCCGCCCTGTCTTGCGCGCCTCCCTAGTTCCCGCGTGCCGCCGTGCCCTGCCTGTTGTACCGTCCTGCACTGCCCACTTTGTCATCTCTCAGCGTTCTCACTTTCGACTCGGAGGGCCGTCCGATACAGTTTGAGACCTGGCTGGAGGAATTACAACTGTACCTACAAAACGAGTCTGGGGACGGCATCTCCTTGTTTGAACACACGTCCGGAGCCTCTCTTGCTCCTCCCGACACACCTGACAGTGCGACTTGCTCACAGTGGCTTACCCGTGACGCTACTGCTCGCCTCGCCGTTCGCAACCACCTGCCTTGGCCGGACGCGTGCACTTTGGCCAGCACAAGACTGCTAAGGCAATGTTTGACGCTGTAGTCACTCGCTACTCCTCCCCTGCCACTGCTGCTCTAGGCCGACTCATACTGCCCTACCTCTTTCCTGAGCTGTCAGCGTTTTCCACAGTCGACGACCTCATCACCCACCTTCGCACTAGTGACACTCGCTACCGCGCTGCGCTTAAATCCGAGTTTGTAGACAAGAACCCACCCCCCATGTACATCACTTTCCACTTCATCGTCACCCGCCTCCCTGAATCTCTCCGTGCAGTCACGGACCACTTTCTCGCCCTTGAACCCATAGACCTCACTGTCGACCTGCTCGAGAAGCATCTCCTTGCAGCTGAGACTAGCGCAGTCGCTGTAGGTGCTACTCGTGGCACTCCTCGCACTCCCTTCTTTGAGGGGTGTTCCCCCTCCCCCCTTGCCCCCTCCGTCGCTTCTGCTGCTGCTGTTGACTTCCTTGGCACTGAGGAGGTCGGGGCTGCTTCTGCTTCAAGTGGGAGACACTCCAGCGGCAAGGGCAAGGGAGGCAAGCATGGTGGGGGTGGCGACAGTGGAGGCGCTGGTGGAGGTGGTGGTGGTGGTGGTGGTGGTGGTGGTGGTGGTGGTGGTGGTGGTGGTAGTGGTGGTGGTGGTGGTGGTGGTGGTGGTGGTGGGAGTGGTGGTGGAGGTGGAGGCGTCAGTGGCGGCGGTGGTGGTAGCGGTGGGAGTGGTGGCGGCGGTGGTGGCGGCGTTGGGAGTGGTGGCGGTGGTGGGAGTGGTGGCGGTGGCAGTGGTGGCAGTCAGGGTGGAGCGGTCCAAAGGGGTGGTTCTGGCGGTAGGCAGCAGCAGCAGCAGCACCAGCAGCAGCGGCTATCCCCGCGAGACCCTTACTTCCCAGCAGCTTCGTGAGTGGTTTGCTCAGCGTGGGGCGTCTGGGGGTAGTGTTCGCTGCCCGTACGTCATTCGCACAGGTGATCGGGCTGGTCAGGCTTGCGAGAATGTTGGTCACACACAGTACCGCTGCTTCTCCCGACTTGACGACGTGTGGCGCGTAGAGTTTGGCGACGAGGCTGAGCTCCCCCGCTGGCGGGAGCTGCTTAGGGACAATGTGGATATCTTTGCTCTTCAATATGACGCTATTCTTGCTGCCATGTATGCTTTGACTGTTAGTGCTGAGGGTGACTGTTACCTGTGTGTGCCGCCAAACCCAGGTATAGAGGCTGCTGCTCTAGGTGCTAGTGAGTCTGCTCTCTCTAGTACTGCGCCTGCTGAGGCCTTGCACACCTTCACGCTTGACTCAGGTGCTTCCCGCTGCTTCTTTCGCGACAGTACCACAGTTACGCCAACCCTGCACCTGTTGCAATCCGTCAGGCTGACCCCTGAGGGGGCCCAATTCTTGCACGTTCCTCCACTGTTCTCCCATGTCCGGCAATTCCGTCTGGCTCACTCTCAGGTCTTCACCTCCCCTCGTTCTCTACGAACTTGGTGAGTTCTGCTGCTCTCTAGGATGAGATGGTCACTACCACCACTCCTGGGGGTCAGCGTGTGTCGATCTGCATGTGCTTCCAGACTGGCCGTCACCTGGCCACACCCGTCGGCTAGGGTCGAGTCTGTACACACTGACTACTGTGCCGCCTTAGGTCGCTGCGTCTGGTCAAGTGTCCGTGTCAGGTCAGGTAGCAGCCCCCTGTTCGTGTCGCCTCCTCTCACACAAGACTCTCCTTTGGCACCACCGCCTTGGTCACCCCTCCCTGCCACGCCTCCGTGGCATGCACTCCCGCCTCCTTGTCTCTGGTCTTCCCAGGTCTCTGCCTCCCCTCCCGCCCTCGCCTGCCCTGCCCTGGATCCCTTGCGTCGAGGGGCGGTAGCGCGCCGCTCCTCACTCCTCCTCGTTTCCCCCGACGATTGCTCCCCTGCAGACTCTCCATATGGACGTGTGGGGCCCAGCCCGCGTCCGTGGACAGGACCACAAGTGGTACTTTCTGCTGGTTGTTGACGACCATCGCGTTACACCACGGTCTTTCCCTTGCGCAGCAAGGGGGAGGTCCCTGATGTCTTGATCCCTTGGATCTGCAATTTCCGTCTCCAGCTCCGCGAGCGGCTCTGCCAGGACCTTCCTGTCCTGCGTCTGCACTCTGACAAAGGTGGTGAGTTCTCTTCCCACCTCCTACGGAGCTTTTGTCAGGGGGAGGGCATCCTCCAGTTGTTCACGCTTCCGGCCTCCCCGCAGCAGAATGGGATTGCTGAGCGCCGCATTGGCTTAGTCATGGAGGTCGCTCGTACCTCCATGATCCATGCGGCTGCTCCCCATTTTTTGTGGCCGTTTGCGGTCCGGTACGCTGCACATCAGCTCAACCTCTGGCCCCGTGTCTCCTTGCCGGAGACCTCGCCTACACTGCGTTGGACGGGGGAGGTTGGCGATGCGTCGGTGTTTCGGGTCTGGGGCTCTCGTGCCTTTGTCCGTGATATTACCCCGGACAAGCTAGCCTCTCGCGCCATTCCCTATGTCTTCCTTGGCTTTCCCACTGACGCGCTCGGCTGGCAGTTTTACCACCCCACCTCGCGCCGTTAACTGTCCACTCAGGACGTCACGTTCGACGAGTCGGTTCCCTTTTACCGTCTCTTCCCTACCGCACTGCCCCTCTCCCCCCTCCGCCGCTCTTCCTCGCTCCAGGTCCCCCTCCGGTAGACCCCCTCCCCCCTCAGGGTCCTGCTCCTTCAGGTGTGTCTCAGGTAGACCCACTCCCCTTGGCTGAGCCTCTCGAGGTCACTTCCGACACCTCTGGCCCAGCTGAGGGGGGTGACGTTGCTGCTGACGACGCGGCGGCCCCCCGCCACTCGCCCCGCTTGGAGACGCCTCCGGGTTTTCCGCCTCGACCGACTTCCCCGCCTCTGCATCCGGTTGTTGTCGACTCCGGTGCTGGTGGGGGTGGTGTTGCTAGGGGTGCGGAGCCTGGGGGTGCTGAGTCTGAGGGTGCGGAGCCTGGGGGTGCTGAGCCTGAGCATGCGGAGCCTGGGGGTGCTAAGCATGGGAGTGTGGAGCCTAGGGGTGCGGAGCCTGAGGGTGCTGAGTCTGGGGTTGTGGAGCCTAGGGGGTGCTTTGTCTGCTGGAGGTTCTCCGGGTGCCTCGCCGCAGCGGTCTAGCCGGCGGGAGCCTCTCTCACCACCGCGGCTGCGCGAGTGGTTTGCTCGGCGCACCCGCCTTCGGAGTCGCGCTGCTGGAGCTCGAGACACTGCCGCTGGAGGCGCTGGAGCTGGAGGTCCTGGAGCTGCTGTTGCTTCTGGAGCTGGAGGTACTGGAGGTACTGGTCCTGGAGGTATTGGTGCTGGAGGTTCTCCGGGTGCCTCGCCGCAGCGGTCTAGCCGACGCGAGTCTTTCTCACCACCGCAGCTGCGCTAGTGGTTTGCTCGGTGCACCCGCCTTCGGAGTAGCGCCGCTAGAGCTGGAGCCGCTGGAGCTGGAGGCGCTGGAGTTTGGAGCCGCTGGAGCTAGAGGTGCTGCTACTGGAGGCACTGCCGCTGGAGGCACTCGAGCTGGAGGCGCTGGATCTGGAGGCGCTGCAGCTGGAGGCGCTAGAGCTGGAGGTACAAGAGCTGCTGGTACTAGAGGTGCTGGTGCTGGAGGTGTTGGTGCTACTGGAGCTGGGGGTGCTCGTGTTGCTGGAGCTGGAGGTACTGGAGGCGCTGGAGGTGCTGGTGCTGCTGGAGCTGGCGGCGCTGGTGCTAGAGGCACTGGAGCTGGCGGTACTGGTGCTGGAGGCACTGTGCGGCAGAGACCGTTTTTCTTGCCGCCACCGCAGCTGTCACTGCTACCGCCTACCTCAGTGCTCCGCCAGTTTCTTAGTCTTCCTTCGTCCACCGCCCTTCCTCCAGACTCACCGCTGCCTGCCCCCCCTCGTTACACTGAAGAGCCAGCCTCCCTTACAGAGCATCGTGAGCCTGCGTCCCGTCCCGCCTCCCCTGTTCGCACTGTTCGCCGTGCTCGTCGTGTTCCCCGTCCTCGTCCTCCACCTGTCCCCGGCATGCATGGCACTATGTCCTTCCTCTTTTCCATTGCGTGTTCCCCTGCCGTCTGCTCCTGTGTCCTCATTTCCTGACGTTCCGAACCCTGAGTCTGACTTGGGTCGTAGTGCCCACCCTACTGTCATGAGTCTCATGGACACTATTGTCACTGACCCTTCTTTTGAGTCCACTGCTGCGTCTGCCCTAGTTGCTGAGCTTGTTGACTTGGCTGCTGCGTGTCGTCTAGACTACGCCACTAGTCTTTCTTGCTGAGTCTGAGTCTGTCTGTCCTCCGTCCGTCAGGGGTGAGTGTGCTTTTGGCACGGACGTCCTTGAGGACAGGCAGGAGGACTTTGAGTGTCTTGCAGCCACTGTACCTCATCTCGTGGCCATGTTGCTTGCACCTGAGGGAGACCCGGATGCACTGGACATCCCGACCCCGCGCTCTTACGCAGAGGCGATCACGGGTCCCTACTCCTCTCAGTGGAAGACAGCCATGGACGCAGAGATGGCATCCTAGAAGTCCACAAGAACTTACGTTGTCGCAATTCCTCCTCCTGGGGCGAACATCGTCGATGGCATGTGGATTTTCAGGGTGAAGCGGCCGCCGGGTTCTCCGCCTGTCTTCAAAGCTCGTTACGTTGCACGAGGCTTTAGTCAGCGACAGGGAGTTGACTTCTTCCAGACCTTCTCCCCTACCCCAAAGATGACCACTCTTCGGGTGTTGCTGCACATTGCCGCTCAGCGTGACTACGAGCTTCACTCTCTTGACTTCAGCACAGCTTTCTTACAGGGCAGCCTGCACAAGGAGATCTGGCTGCGCCGTCCTCCTGGCTTCACTGGGTCGTTCCTGAGGGTACCCAATGGAGCCTCCGACGGCCAGTCTACGGTCTCCGCCAGGCGCCTCGTGAGTGGCACGACACACTTAGGACGACACTCGCGGCTCTTGGGTTTGCTCCCTCCACTGCTGACCCGTCGCTGTTTCTGCGCACCGACACTTCGCTGCTGCCGTTCTACATCCTCGTGTACGTCGACTGCTTGGTTTTTGCCACTGCTGACACTAAGGGACTCGCCTTTGTGAAGTCGAAGCTGCAGAAGAGACACACCTGCACTGACCTGGGTGAGCTGCGTAGCTACCTTGGCTTGCAGATCACCCGGGACAGAGCACGACGCACCATCACCCTGACTCAGTCACACATGGTGCACCAGGTCCTTCAGCGCTTCGGCTTTCAGTTCTCCTCGCCACAGCCCACTCCTCTGCCTACATACTGGTCACTTGCTCTCAGCTCCACCTTCGAACGAGTCCGTAGAGCCGAGTGGCCCGTATCCAGAGCTTGTGGGCTGCCTCATGTACCTGATGACCTGCACTCGACCTGACCTTGCGTACCCTCTTAGTGTCATGGCACGCTACGTTGTGCCCGGGAGACACCGACCAGAGCACTGGGAGGCCGCTAAGAGGGTGTTGCGCTACTTGTGCAGTACATCGGGCATGAGACTCTTGCTTGGAGGACGGGTTGACATTGTCCTCACTGGACACTCAGACGCTTCTTGGGTTGACGACCTGGCTACGCAGCGGTCATCACAGGGTTACACTTTCAGCCTTGGCTTCGGCTTTGTTTCTTGGCGGTCTACTCGCTCGTCTTCTGTTCTCGGCTCCAGCTCTGCGTTGTCAGGCATTACCGTAGGGCAATTTGTGTGACTGACACTGTACACGCGAAATGCAGCAAACCACGCGCAATCTTTGCCGCGTGTCGTGTCAGCCAAGTCAAGCAGTCTCGTTTGACTTGGAACGGAAGATTTTTGTTTTGTCGGGTTCAGGGATGCGATAATCACCCATCGTTTTTTTCCGAACATCAAACCAGGAAAGAGAAAATAAAACTCAGACGAAGCCAAGATTGAAGTGGTTTATGTGAGTCTGATATGAGGTTGGCCTGATATGAGGACGTAGGATCTTGCCCTTATGTTAATTGCACCCAAAAAATGGGGGGGTCTATACATATGACGTACTTTTTATAAGACCCGGGTCTGTTCAAATTGACTTCTATAAGACACATGCTTTTGAGCTCAAAAAAGTTTTTCGAATTGCTCCGTTTGTAGCACCTCCTAAAGATACTCCGCATGGTCTCCACGAGTGCCAAACCCACGTTATCACGAACTCTATCTGGGTGCCTCCTCCCATTGGCCACAAACACCACTTTGTGTCTGTGCATGTGCGTTTATGGTGGTTCTGTCTCTCCCTGAACATGGAAATGACCATTTTCTATTGCATTTGCTGAAAATCCGGAATTCTCGAGGGTGGGGGGGGGGTCTTATATTGTCAGGAGCCATTTACGGGGGTATAACTTGCATATACCCGAATAGAGTACCCCCCCCCCCCCCCCCCCCCCCGTATTAAAGACCCGGGGGTCTACAACTGGAGGGGGTCTTATCGTTATACGGGGGTTTACGGTAATCAAAGTATTAGGGTAATTTACATTGATAAAATAGGCCCTGCTACCATGTCACCCCAGATAGAAGCACATGCGCTTCTATTATAACCACCTTCGATTATAAGCACGTGTCCTTCAATACGAAGTAACACAGCATATAAAAATGTTGCAAGATTACACCTCATGCCTAGTGCAATTCCATACAGTATAGCATTACACCACGGTCCATTATCCGAGTGATGTGGTGGCGGAGGGGTCTCTCAACTTATACCAAGCTAAACGCTATCAAATCAGAAGAGAATGCCCGCACTAGCGCACCCTAGTGTCTTCTTTGTAGGGTAGCCCACTAGGCATGTATAGTATATTCATACGGAAAGCAATTTCAGCAGAACATAAACATTCTCTAGCATTACTAGTAAATGTGCCACTTATCAAAACTATAACTTAACCTTCACCCAAGTTGCCGTCAATCATTTGAAGTTCGGTGTCGAGGCTGTTCACGCCGACAAAATCCTTCATCTCCTGCACCTCTGCATCCACCTTGACAGCCGCGCTCAGCTCCTCTTTCCCCACCCACTCCTCCCGGATGGCCTGCAGCTCGTTGGCGACGTGTGCCATGCTTGGGCGGGCTGCAGTGCGCTCCACAGTGCAGGAGAGGGCGAACTGAGCCACACGCAGCACAGCATCAGCAGGGGCGTCCATGGTGGGATCCTTGAGGCTCCCCAAGTTTCCCGAGGACAGGCATTCAGATTACTGAGGGAGTGAATTGGGTAGAGGGGGTTGGAGAAGGTGAGATGAGACAGGTCATCAAGAAGCTGTGGAGATTTTTTAAAAAATAGTGGACATGGTACGCCGTCCCTGTGAGGACCGCTAGCAAAAAGTAGACATGGTAGGAAATGAACCAGCATTGGTGTTCCTTTACTGGCACTGAGACAATGCAATCACACTGACAATGCAATCGCCGGTCTCATGGGATAAGGTGCTCACCCAAGGAGTGATCTGCTGACTCTTTCCATCAGTCTCCAAGAGTGGCGCCTGTCCCGTGAGGACCACCAGCATGAGCACTCCAAAGCTGAGAAAATGGTTCGCAGGCAGGTTTGATCAGAGGCACATGATGATCAGAGGCAGAGGATGATCAGAGGCAGAGTATGATCAGAGGCAGAGTATGATCAGAGGCAGAGTATGATCAGAGGCACAGGAAGATTGGAATAGGATGCAGACAAAAAAGAAGAAGCAGAGGAACTTTAGATGAGTCTTGCCACCTGACCGCAGCATACCCAGATTCACGTAGTAGTTGGGGCTCATCTCATCGGGTGTCAGCTCCTGCATTGTATCCAAGGGTGTCCTGCCATGCTTCTAAGGGTCTCCTGCCATGCTTCTAAGGGTCTCCTGCCATGCTTCTAATGGTCTCCTGCCATGCTTCTAAGGGTCTCCTGCCATGCTTCTAATGGTCTCCTGCCATGCTTCTAAGGGTCTCCTGCCATGCTTCTGAGGGTCTCCTGCCATGCTTCTGAGGGTCTCCTGCCATGCTTCTGAGGGTCTCCTGCCATGCTTCTGAGGGTCTCCTGCCATGCTTCTGAGGGTCTCCTGCCATGCTTCTGAGGGTCTCCTGCCGCGCCTCTGAGGGTCTCCTGCCGCGCCTCTGAGGGTCTCCTGCCGCGCCTCTGAGGGTCTCCTGCCGCGCCTCTGAGGGTCTCCTGCCGCGCCTCTGAGGGTCTCCTGCCGCGCCTCTGAGGGTCTCCTGCCGCGCTTCTGAGGGTCTCCTGCCGCGCTTCTGAGGGTCTCCTGCCGCGCTTCTGAGGGTCTCCTGCCGCGCTTCTGAGGGTCTCCTGCCGCGCTTCTGAGGGTCTCCTGCCGCGCTTCTGAGGGTCTCCTGCCGCGCTTCTGAGGGTCTCCTCCCGCGCTTCTGAGGGTCTCCTGCCGCGCTTCTGAGGGTCTCCTCCCGCGCTTCTGAGGGTCTCCTCCCGCGCTTCTGAGGGTCTCCTGCCGCGCTTCTGAGGGTCTCCTGCCGCGCTTCTGAGGGTCTCCTGCCGCGCTTCTGAGGGTCTCCTGCCGCGCTTCTGAGGGTCTCCTGCCGCGCTTCTGAGGGTCTCCTGCCGCGCTTCTGAGGGTCTCCTGCCGCGCTTCTGAGGGTCTCCTGCCGCGCTTCTGAGGGTCTCCTGCCGCGCTTCTGAGGGTCTCCTGCCGCGCTTCTGAGGGTCTCCTGCCGCGCTTCTGAGGGTCTCCTGCCGCGCTTCTGAGGGTCTCCTGCCGCGCTTCTGAGGGTCTCCTGCCGCGCTTCTGAGGGTCTCCTGCCGCGCTTCTGAGGGTCTCCTGCCGCGCTTCTGAGGGTCTCCTGCCGCGCTTCTGAGGGTCTCCTGCCGCGCTTCTGAGGGTCTCCTGCCGCGCTTCTGAGGGTCTCCTGCCGCGCTTCTGAGGGTCTCCTGCCGCGCTTCTGAGGGTCTCCTGCCGCGCTTCTGAGGGTCTCCTGCCGCGCTTCTGAGGGTCTCCTGCCGCGCTTCTGAGGGTCTCCTGCCGCGCTTCTGAGGGTCTCCTGCCGCGCTTCTGAGGGTCTCCTGCCGCGCTTCTGAGGGTCTCCTGCCGCGCTTCTGAGGGTCTCCTGCCGCGCTTCTGAGGGTCTCCTGCCGCGCTTCTGAGGGTCTCCTGCCGCGCTTCTGAGGGTCTCCTGCCGCGCTTCTGAGGGTCTCCTGCCGCGCTTCTGAGGGTCTCCTGCCGCGCTTCTGAGGGTCTCCTGCCGCGCTTCTGAGGGTCTCCTGCCGCGCTTCTGAGGGTCTCCTGCCGCGCTTCTGAGGGTCTCCTGCCGCGCTTCTGAGGGTCTCCTGCCGCGCTTCTGAGGGTCTCCTGCCGCGCTTCTGAGGGTCTCCTGCCGCGCTTCTGAGGGTCTCCTGCCGCGCTTCTGAGGGTCTCCTGCCGCGCTTCTGAGGGTCTCCTGCCGCGCTTCTGAGGGTCTCCTGCCGCGCTTCTGAGGGTCTCCTGCCGCGCTTCTGAGGGTCTCCTGCCGCGCTTCTGAGGGTCTCCTGCCGCGCTTCTGAGGGTCTCCTGCCGCGCTTCTGAGGGTCTCCTGCCGCGCTTCTGAGGGTCTCCTGCCGCGCTTCTGAGGGTCTCCTGCCGCGCTTCTGAGGGTCTCCTGCAGCGCTTCTGAGGGTCTCCTGCCGCGCTTCTGAGGGTCTCCTGCCGCGCTTCTGAGGGTCTCCTGCCGCGCTTCTGAGGGTCTCCTGCCGCGCTTCTGAGGGTCTCCTGCCGCGCTTCTGAGGGTCTCCTGCCGCGCTTCTGAGGGTCTCCTGCCGCGCTTCTGAGGGTCTCCTGCCGCGCTTCTGAGGGTCTCCTGCCGCGCTTCTGAGGGTCTCCTGCCGCGCTTCTGAGGGTCTCCTGCCGCGCTTCTGAGGGTCTCCTGCCGCGCTTCTGAGGGTCTCCTGCCGCGCTTCTCAGGGTCTCCTGCCGTGCTTCTCAGGGTCTCCTGCCGCGCTTCTCAGGGTCTCCTGCCGCGCTTCTCAGGGTCTCCTGCCGCGCTTCTCAGGGTCTCCTGCCGCGCTTCTGAGGGTCTCCTGCCGCGCTTCTCAGGGTCTCCTGCCGCGCTTCTGAGGGTCTCCTGCCGCGCTTCTGAGGGTCTCCTGCCGCGCTTCTCAGGGTCTCCTGCCGCGCTTCTCAGGGTCTCCTGCCGCGCTTCTGAGGGTCTCCTGCCGCGCTTCTCAGGGTCTCCTGCCGCGCTTCTCAGGGTCCCCTGCCATGCTTCTCAGGGTCCCCTGCCATGCTTCTCAGGGTCCCCTGCCATGCTTCTCAGGGTCCCCTGCCATGCTTCCGAGGGTCTCCTGCCATGCTTGTAAGGGTCTCCTGCCACGCTTCCGAGGGTCTCCTGCCACGCTTCCGAGGGTCTCCTGCCACGCTTGTAAGGGTCTCCTGCCACGCTTCCGAGGGTCTCCTGCCACGCTTCCGAGGGTCTCCTGCCACGCTTCCGAGGGTCTCCTGCCACGCTTCCGAGGGTCTCCTGCCACGCTTCCGAGGGTCTCCTGCCACGCTTCCGAGGGTCTCCTGCCACGCTTCCGAGGGTCTCCTGCCACGCTTCCGAGGGTCTCCTGCCACGCTTCCGAGGGTCTCCTGCCACGCTTCCGAGGGTCTCCTGCCACGCTTCCGAGGGTCTCCTGCCACGCTTCCGAGGGTCTCCTGCCACGCTTGTAAGGGTCTCCTGCCACGCTTCCGAGGGTCTTCTGCCACGCTTCCGAGGGTCTCCTGCCACGCTTCCGAGGGTCTCCTGCCACGCTTCCGAGGGTCCACGCTTCCGAGGGTCTCCTGCCACGCTTCCGAGGGTCTCCTGCCACGCTTCCGAGGGTCTCCTGCCACGCTTCCGAGGGTCTCCTGCCACGCTTCCGAGGGTCTCCTGCCACGCTTCCGAGGGTCTCCTGCCACGCTTCCGAGGGTCTCCTGCCACGCTTCCGAGGGTCTCCTGCCACGCTTCCGAGGGTCTCCTGCCACGCTTCCGAGGGTCTCCTGCCACGCTTCCGAGGGTCTCCTGCCACGCTTCCGAGGGTCTCCTGCCACGCTTCCGAGGGTCTCCTGCCACGCTTCCGAGGGTCTCCTGCCACGCTTCCGAGGGTCTCCTGCCACGCTTCCGAGGGTCTCCTGCCACGCTTCGAAGGGTCTCCTGCCACGCTTCGAAGGGTCTCCTGCCATGCTTCTCAACTGCTTCACTGGCCTACCTTCTAGACATCACTGGCAGTGGTGGCTTTGGACACGATTAAGTGGACAGGATGATGCGCGTCGTGCACAAACATTTTAGAACGTCTAAAAAAGGGTGTCCTATCCTTATTACACATACAATAAGGCTAGGCTTGATTATGCACCGGTTGTTTTCATAGTGGTTTTTTTTTTAACCCTTATGAGAAAAAGTACCTTGACATGATAGATAACAATGATATTTCATAGTGCTTTTTAGGGCGATTTCGTGGGCCCGGACACCATCTGGCGTTCCCCCACACACTGCGCAATGTCTTGAACACGACCCTGTGTAAACTCGACTCAATTGAATAGGCAAGAGTGCGGTGTATATTTTGGTGTTATAAATTTATAAATATGTGTTTGTCATTGAATTAGCGCATGCACACCCCTTGAGAAAAAATGCCTTCTCTTGTAAGCGCAGGTGTCCTTCAATCCGGGGTAACACGATATATACAGGTGTTGCAAGATTAGACCTCGTGCCCATTGCAATTCCATCTTGATGTAGTAATAGCACTTAGGGTACATTCCTGGAGCATGTCACAAGAGCCTCGCGTCTCAAACAACGAGATACAGTGCGGTGTAAACGTTCGATACTTGGGTGTAATGCGGTGCAGAGCGGTACACCGCTTTTGTGATGCCTAAGTTGATGACATGTCTTCACAGTAATGTACCCTTAGACCCTGGTATAGCATTAGACCCCAGTCCATTATCCAGGTGATGTGGTTAAACAAGGGGTGGCGGAGGGGTCTCTCAACTTATACTGAGCTAAACGCTATCAATTCAGAAGAGAACGCCCCCTCTAGTGCACCCTGGTGTCTTCATTGTAGGGTAACCCACTAGGCACGTAAAGTATATTCATACCAAAGCAACTTTCACTACCAGTATAAGTGCTACTTGTCAAAACTATAACTTATTGTAACTTTCACCCAAGTTGTCTTCAATCATCCGAAGTTCGGTGTCAAGGCTGTTCACGCCGACAACATCCTTCATCTCCTGCACCTCCGCATCCACCTTCACAGCCGCACTCAGCTCCTCTTTCCCCACCACCTCCTCCCGGATGGCCTGCACCTCGTTGGCGACGTGTGCCATGCTTGAGCGGGCTGCAGTGCGCTCCACGGTGCAGGAGAGGGCGAGCTGAGCCACACGCAGCACGGCATCTGCAGGGGCGTCCAAGGTGGGGTCCTTGAGGCTCCCCAAGTTTCCCGAGGACAGGCACTCAGATGCCTGAGGGAGTGAATTGGGTAGAGGGTGTCGGAGAAGGTGAGATGAGACAGGTCATCAAGAAGGTGTGAAAATTATTTCAGAGCCTTTTTTACGAAGCCTGTAGGTGGTGCATACCCACGAAATGGTATGCCGTCCTTGTGAGGACCACTAGCAAAAACTAGACATGGTAGGAAAAGAACCAGCATTGGTGTTCCTTTACTGCCATTGAGACAATGCTATCACAATGAAGTGCTAGACGCTGGGCTCATGGGATAAGGCGCTCACCCAAGGAGTGATCTGCTGACTCGTTCCATCAGTCTCCAAGAGTGGCGCCTGTCCCGTGAGGACCACCAGCATGAGCACTCCAAAGCTGAGAAAATGGTTCAAAGGCACAGGATGATCAGAGGCAGAGTATGATCAGAGGCACAGGATGATCAGAGGCAGAGTATGATCAGAGGCAGAGTATGATCAGAGGCAGAGTATGATCAGAGGCAGAGTATGATCAGAGGCACAGGAAGATCGGAATAGGATGCAGACGAAAAAGAAGAAGCAAAGGCACTTTAGATGAGTCTTGCCACCTGACCGTAGCATACCCAGATTCACGTAGTATTTGGGGCTCATCTCATCGGGTGTCAGCTCCTGCATTGTATCCAAGGGTCTCCTGCCATGCTTCTGAGGGCCTCCTGCCAGCTTCTGAGGGCCTCCTGCCGCGCTTCTGAGGGCCTCCTGCCGCGCTTCTGAGGGCCTCCTGCCGCGCTTCTGAGGGCCTCCTGCCGCGCTTCTGAGGGCCTCCTGCCGCGCTTCTGAGGGCCTCCTGCCGCGCTTCTGAGGGCCTCCTGCCGCGCTTCTGAGGGCCTCCTGCCGCGCTTCTGAGGGCCTCCTGCCGCGCTTCTGAGGGCCTCCTGCCGCGCTTCTGAGGGCCTCCTGCCGCGCTTCTGAGGGCCTCCTGCCGCGCTTCTGAGGGCCTCCTGCCGCGCTTCTGAGGGCCTCCTGCCGCGCTTCTGAGGGCCTCCTGCCGCGCTTCTGAGGGCCTCCTGCCGCGCTTCTGAGGGCCTCCTGCCGCGCTTCTGAGGGCCTCCTGCCGCGCTTCTGAGGGCCTCCTGCCGCGCTTCTGAGGGCCTCCTGCCGCGCTTCTGAGGGCCTCCTGCCGCGCTTCTGAGGGCCTCCTGCCGCGCTTCTGAGGGCCTCCTGCCGCGCTTCTGAGGGCCTCCTGCCGCGCTTCTGAGGGCCTCCTGCCGCGCTTCTGAGGGCCTCCTGCCGCGCTTCTGAGGGCCTCCTGCCGCGCTTCTGAGGGCCTCCTGCCGCGCTTCTGAGGGCCTCCTGCCGCGCTTCTGAGGGCCTCCTGCCGCGCTTCTGAGGGCCTCCTGCCGCGCTTCTGAGGGCCTCCTGCCGCGCTTCTGAGGGCCTCCTGCCGCGCTTCTGAGGGCCTCCTGCCGCGCTTCTGAGGGCCTCCTGCCGCGCTTCTGAGGGCCTCCTGCCGCGCTTCTGAGGGCCTCCTGCCGCGCTTCTGAGGGCCTCCTGCCGCGCTTCTGAGGGCCTCCTGCCGCGCTTCTGAGGGCCTCCTGCCGCGCTTCTGAGGGCCTCCTGCCGCGCTTCTGAGGGCCTCCTGCCGCGCTTCTGAGGGCCTCCTGCCGCGCTTCTGAGGGCCTCCTGCCGCGCTTCTGAGGGCCTCCTGCCGCGCTTCTGAGGGCCTCCTGCCGCGCTTCTGAGGGCCTCCTGCCGCGCTTCTGAGGGCCTCCTGCCGCGCTTCTCAGGGCCTCCTGCCGCGCTTCTCAGGGCCTCCTGCCGCGCTTCTCAGGGCCTCCTGCCGCGCTTCTGAGGGCCTCCTGCCGCGCTTCTGAGGGCCTCCTGCCGCGCTTCTGAGGGCCTCCTGCCGCGCTTCTCAGGGCCTCCTGCCGCGCTTCTCAGGGCCTCCTGCCGCGCTTCTCAGGGCCTCCTGCCGCGCTTCTCAGGGCCTCCTGCCGCGCTTCTCAGGGCCTCCTGCCGCGCTTCTCAGGGCCTCCTGCCGCGCTTCTCAGGGCCTCCTGCCGCGCTTCTCAGGGCCTCCTGCCGCGCTTCTCAGGGCCTCCTGCCGCGCTTCTCAGGGCCTCCTGCCGCGCTTCTCAGGGCCTCCTGCCGCGCTTCTCAGGGCCTCCTGCCGCGCTTCTCAGGGCCTCCTGCCGCGCTTCTCAGGGCCTCCTGCCGCGCTTCTCAGGGCCTCCTGCCGCGCTTCTCAGGGCCTCCTGCCGCGCTTCTCAGGGCCTCCTGCCGCGCTTCTCAGGGCCTCCTGCCGCGCTTCTCAGGGCCTCCTGCCGCGCTTCTCAGGGCCTCCTGCCGCGCTTCTCAGGGCCTCCTGCCGCGCTTCTCAGGGCCTCCTGCCGCGCTTCTCAGGGCCTCCTGCCGCGCTTCTCAGGGCCTCCTGCCGCGCTTCTCAGGGCCTCCTGCCGCGCTTCTCAGGGCCTCCTGCCGCGCTTCTCAGGGCCTCCTGCCGCGCTTCTCAGGGCCTCCTGCCGCGCTTCTCAGGGCCTCCTGCCGCGCTTCTCAGGGCCTCCTGCCGCGCTTCTCAGGGCCTCCTGCCGCGCTTCTCAGGGCCTCCTGCCGCGCTTCTCAGGGCCTCCTGCCGCGCTTCTCAGGGCCTCCTGCCGCGCTTCTCAGGGCCTCCTGCCGCGCTTCTCAGGGCCTCCTGCCGCGCTTCTCAGGGCCTCCTGCCGCGCTTCTCAGGGCCTCCTGCCGCGCTTCTCAGGGCCTCCTGCCGCGCTTCTCAGGGCCTCCTGCCGCGCTTCTCAGGGCCTCCTGCCGCGCTTCTCAGGGCCTCCTGCCGCGCTTCTCAGGGCCTCCTGCCGCGCTTCTCAGGGCCTCCTGCCGCGCTTCTCAGGGCCTCCTGCCGCGCTTCTCAGGGCCTCCTGCCGCGCTTCTCAGGGCCTCCTGCCGCGCTTCTCAGGGCCTCCTGCCGCGCTTCTCAGGGCCTCCTGCCGCGCTTCCAGGGCCTCCTGCCGCGCTTCCCAGGGCCTCCTGCCGCGCTTCCCAGGGCCTCCTGCCGCGCTTCCCAGGGCCTCCTGCCGCGCTTCCCAGGGCCTCCTGCCGCGCTTCCCAGGGCCTCCTGCCGCGCTTCCCAGGGCCTCCTGCCGCGCTTCCCAGGGCCTCCTGCCGCGCTTCCCAGGGCCTCCTGCCGCGCTTCCCAGGGCCTCCTGCCGCGCTTCCCAGGGCCTCCTGCCGCGCTTCCCAGGGCCTCCTGCCGCGCTTCCCAGGGCCTCCTGCCGCGCTTCCCAGGGCCTCCTGCCGCGCTTCCCAGGGCCTCCTGCCGCGCTTCCCAGGGCCTCCTGCCGCGCTTCCCAGGGCCTCCTGCCGCGCTTCCCAGGGCCTCCTGCCGCGCTTCCCAGGGCCTCCTGCCGCGCTTCCCAGGGCCTCCTGCCGCGCTTCCCAGGGCCTCCTGCCGCGCTTCCCAGGGCCTCCTGCCGCGCTTCCCAGGGCCTCCTGCCGCGCTTCCCAGGGCCTCCTGCCGCGCTTCCCAGGGCCTCCTGCCGCGCTTCCCAGGGCCTCCTGCCGCGCTTCCCAGGGCCTCCTGCCGCGCTTCCCAGGGCCTCCTGCCGCGCTTCCCAGGGCCTCCTGCCGCGCTTCCCAGGGCCTCCTGCCGCGCTTCCCAGGGCCTCCTGCCGCGCTTCCCAGGGCCTCCTGCCGCGCTTCCCAGGGCCTCCTGCCGCGCTTCCCAGGGCCTCCTGCCGCGCTTCCCAGGGCCTCCTGCCGCGCTTCCCAGGGCCTCCTGCCGCGCTTCCCAGGGCCTCCTGCCGCGCTTCCCAGGGCCTCCTGCCGCGCTTCTCAGGGCCTCCTGCCGCACTTCTCAGGGCCTCCTGCCGCGCTTCCCAGGGCCTCCTGCCGCGCTTCTCAGGGCCTCCTGCCGCGCTTCCCAGGGCCTCCTGCCGCGCTTCCCAGGGCCTCCTGCCGCGCTTCCCAGGGCCTCCTGCCGCGCTTCCCAGGGCCTCCTGCCGCGCTTCCCAGGGCCTCCTGCCGCGCTTCCCAGGGCCTCCTGCCGCGCTTCCGAGGGCCTCCTGCCGCGCTTCCCAGGGCCTCCTGCCGCGCTTCCGAGGGCCTCCTGCCGCGCTTCCGAGGGCCTCCTGCCGCGCTTCCGAGGGCCTCCTGCCGCGCTTCCGAGGGCCTCCTGCCGCGCTTCCGAGGGCCTCCTGCCGCGCTTCCGAGGGCCTCCTGCCGCGCTTCCGAGGGTCTCCTGCCGCGCTTCCGAGGGTCTCCTGCCGCGCTTCCGAGGGTCTCCTGCCGCGCTTCCGAGGGTCTCCTGCCACGCTTCCGAGGGTCTCCTGCCACGCTTCCGAGGGTCTCCTGCCACGCTTCCGAGGGTCTCCTGCCACGCTTCGGTCTCCTGCCACGCTTCGAAGGGTCTCCTGCCATGCTTCTCAACTGCTTCACTGGCCTACCTTCTAGACATCACTGGCAGTGGTGGCTTTGGACACGATTAAGTGGACAGGATGATGCGCGTCGTGCACAAACATTTTAGAACGTCTAAAAAAGGGTGTCCTATCCTTATTACACATACAATAAGGCTAGGCTTGATTATGCACCGGTTGTTTTCATAGTGGTTTTTTTTTAAACCCTTATGAGAAAAAGTACCTTGACATGATAGATAACAATGATATTTCATAGTGCTTTTTAGGGCGATTTCGTGGGCCCGGACACCATCTGGCGTTCCCCCACACACTGCGCAATGTCTTGAACACGACCCTGTGTAAACTCGACTCAATTGAATAGGCAAGAGAGCGGTGTATATTTTGGTGTTATAAATTTATAAATATGTGTTTGTCATTGAATTAGCCCATGCACACCCCTTGAGAAAAAATGCCTTCTCTTGTAAGCGCAGGTGTCCTTCAATCCGGGGTAACACGATATATACAGGTGTTGCAAGATTAGACCTCGTGCCCATTGCAATTCCATCTTGATGTAGTAATAGCACTTAGGGTACATTCCTGGAGCATGTCACAAGAGCCTCGCGTCTCAAACAACGAGATACAGTGCGGTGTAAACGTTCGATACTTGGGTGTAATGCGGTGCAGAGCGGTACACCGCTTTTGTGATGCCTAAGTTGATGACATGTCTTCACAGTAATGTACCCTTAGACCCTGGTATAGCATTAGACCCCAGTCCATTATCCAGGTGATGTGGTTAAACAAGGGGTGGCGGAGGGGTCTCTCAACTTATACTGAGCTAAACGCTATCAATTCAGAAGAGAACGCCCCCTCTAGTGCACCCTGGTGTCTTCATTGTAGGGTAACCCACTAGGCACGTAAAGTATATTCATACCAAAGCAACTTTCACTACCAGTATAAGTGCTACTTGTCAAAACTATAACTTATTGTAACTTTCACCCAAGTTGTCTTCAATCATCCGAAGTTCGGTGTCAAGGCTGTTCACGCCGACAACATCCTTCATCTCCTGCACCTCCGCATCCACCTTCACAGCCGCACTCAGCTCCTCTTTCCCCACCACCTCCTCCCGGATGGCCTGCACCTCGTTGGCGACGTGTGCCATGCTTGAGCGGGCTGCAGTGCGCTCCACGGTGCAGGAGAGGGCGAGCTGAGCCACACGCAGCACGGCATCTGCAGGGGCGTCCAAGGTGGGGTCCTTGAGGCTCCCCAAGTTTCCCGAGGACAGGCACTCAGATGCCTGAGGGAGTGAATTGGGTAGAGGGTGTCGGAGAAGGTGAGATGAGACAGGTCATCAAGAAGGTGTGAAAATTATTTCAGAGCCTTTTTTACGAAGCCTGTAGGTGGTGCATACCCACGAAATGGTATGCCGTCCTTGTGAGGACCACTAGCAAAAACTAGACATGGTAGGAAAAGAACCAGCATTGGTGTTCCTTTACTGCCATTGAGACAATGCTATCACAATGAAGTGCTAGACGCTGGGCTCATGGGATAAGGCGCTCACCCAAGGAGTGATCTGCTGACTCGTTCCATCAGTCTCCAAGAGTGGCGCCTGTCCCGTGAGGACCACCAGCATGAGCACTCCAAAGCTGAGAAAATGGTTCAAAGGCACAGGATGATCAGAGGCAGAGTATGATCAGAGGCACAGGATGATCAGAGGCAGAGTATGATCAGAGGCAGAGTATGATCAGAGGCAGAGTATGATCAGAGGCAGAGTATGATCAGAGGCAGAGTATGATCAGAGGCACAGGAAGATCGGAATAGGATGCAGACGAAAAAGAAGAAGCAAAGGCACTTTAGATGAGTCTTGCCACCTGACCGTAGCATACCCAGATTCACGTAGTATTTGGGGCTCATCTCATCGGGTGTCAGCTCCTGCATTGTATCCAAGGGTCTCCTGCCATGCTTCTGAGGGTCTCCTGCCATGCTTCTGAGGGTCTCCTGCCATGCTTTCTGAGGGTCTCCTGCCATGCTTCTGAGGGTCTCCTGCCATGCTTCTGAGGGCCTCCTGCCATGCTTCTGAGGGCCTCCTGCCACGCTTCTCAGGGCCTCCTGCCACACTTCTCAGGGCCTCCTGCCACGCTTCTCAGGGTCTCCTGCCACGCTTCTGAGGGTCTCCTGCCACGCTTCTGAGGGTCTCCTGCCACGCTTCTGAGGGTCTCCTGCCACGCTTCTGAGGGTCTCCTGCCACGCTTCTGAGGGTCTCCTGCCACGCTTCTGAGGGTCTCCTGCCACGCTTCTGAGGGTCTCCTGCCACGCTTCTGAGGGTCTCCTGCCACGCTTCTGAGGGTCTCCTGCCACGCTTCTGAGGGTCTCCTGCCACGCTTCTGAGGGTCTCCTGCCACGCTTCTGAGGGTCTCCTGCCACGCTTCTGAGGGTCTCCTGCCACGCTTCTGAGGGTCTCCTGCCACGCTTCTGAGGGTCTCCTGCCACGCTTCTGAGGGTCTCCTGCCACGCTTCTGAGGGTCTCCTGCCACGCTTATGAGGGTCTCCTGCCACGCTTCTGAGGGTCTCCTGCCACGCTTCTGAGGGTCTCCTGCCACGCTTCTGAGGGTCTCCTGCCACGCTTCTGAGGGTCTCCTGCCACGCTTCTGAGGGTCTCCTGCCACGCTTCTGAGGGTCTCCTGCCACGCTTCTGAGGGTCTCCTGCCACGCTTCTGAGGGTCTCCTGCCACGCTTCTGAGGGTCTCCTGCCACGCTTCTGAGGGTCTCCTGCCACGCTTCTGAGGGTCTCCTGCCACGCTTCTGAGGGTCTCCTGCCACGCTTCTGAGGGTCTCCTGCCACGCTTCTGAGGGTCTCCTGCCACGCTTCTGAGGGTCTCCTGCCACGTTTCTGAGGGTCTCCTGCCCTTTTTCTAAGGGTCTCCTGCCATGCTTCTGAGGGTCTCCTTCCATTTTTCTTAGGGTCTCCTGCCATGCATGTAAGGGTCTCCTGCCATGCATGTAAGGGTCTCCTGTCATGCTTCTAAGGGTCTCCTGCCATGCTTCTAAGGGTCTCATGCCATGCTTCTAAGGGTCTCCTGCCATGTTTCTAAGGGTCTCCTGCCATGCATGTAAGGGTCTCCTGCCATGCATGTAAGGGTCTCCTGCCATGCTTCTAAGGGTCTCCTGCCATGCTTCTAAGGGTCTCCTGCTATGCTTCTAAGGGTCTCCTGCCATGCTTCTAAGAGCCTCCTGCCATGCTTCTAAGGGTCTCCTGCCATGCTTCTAAGGGTCTCCTGCCATGCTTCTAAGGGTCTCCTGCCATGCTTCTAAGGGTCTCACAGTAGATCTCACTGCCCTACCTATAGACACCACTGCCAACGTCTAAAAAATAAACACCTGTAGTTCTCACTGCCCTACCTATAGACATCACTGGCTGCAGTGTTGCCGATGTGATGGAATAAACAGGATCCACATAGGCCGGTGTGCCCATGACATGACAAACGACGTGCCGACGCTCTTCAAGATGTCTAAAAAATGCTCACCTGTAGAGGCTGTTTACCTGTGCACATTATTGCCACATATAGGGCTCCTTCAATGATCACCTGTTAGTGTAGACACCTGTAGACACCACTGCCTCACATAAGGCCTTTGCAATGATCACCTGTAGACATCGCTGGCAGCGGTGGCCTTGGAGGTGATGGAGTAGACCGGATCCACATAGCCCGGTGTGCCCATGATGCGCGTTGTGCCCACAGTCGTGCCCTCCCCCATCCTCACCAGCCCAAAGTCTGCAATCTTCGCCTGGTGACTCAGATGAGTGGCATTGTAGCATGAGGGATAGGAAATGGTGCATAAAATTTGGACACTTTTGGCACTTTCCACAACAGAGCTTGGATTGAAAGAAAAAGGTTGTAAGAAACGACATCCGACATTCCAATCAACACAGCAGGTGTAGTGTCGTATACGAACACCTTCATCAGACTTGTATGTGTAGCTTGACCAAAATATACTTTGAAGAAAACACAAATATGCCTTGATTAAGCAAAAAAACATTCTGTCACAAAAAAGGATCCACTGCAACCAAGCTTGCCTGCATGTTATCGGTGATGAGGACGTTGGCAGGCTTGATGTCGCGATGCACAATGCCAAAGCCATGGAGATACTCCAAGCCCCGTGCCATGCCGATGAGAATGTCCAGCCGCTGCTTCAAAGTCAGAGGCCGCTCTGCCTCTACAAGGAATAAGTGGCAGAGGGATGATTGGCAGAGTTGAGTGGCATCGGATGAGTGGCAGATCAAGAGTGGCCAAGGGTAGGCTACATCTCAAAGATGTGTGGCACAGCAGGTGTGTGGCACAGCGCATGACTGGCAAGCTGCTTCTAAGTCAAGGTCATGCCACACGATGCGATTGACACAGCAAATAAATGGCACAAAAAATGAGTGGTAGAGCATATGAGTGGCACAGCATGAGTGGCAGAGCATGTGAGGAATAATATTGGAGAGGCACACGTACTTAGACCGATCCATTTGTGAAGATCGCCGTTGGGCACATATTCATAGATGAGAATTTGCTCTGGTTGTGTCCTCAAGTCTCCTCCGATCGCAAAGCCAAGCAGCTTCACAATGTTGGGATGGTTCTTGTCGGCCATCTGCTGGATCTGATCCGCACAGGCAGAAAGAAATGGCGAACAGCAAAGAAAAACAAATTGCAAAGGAGACCTCCAAACAAATAGCAGAACAAGCTCGACAAATTGAGGAACTGGCTTGCAATTTCATGCCTGCTAAGGCTTGTGAGAAAAGGCCTTGTGTGCCTCCACCATGTCTGACTGACCTCCTTCTGAAAGCCCACGTCTATCAGCCTGGCTCGCTTCACAGCCCACAAGGTGGTGCCATCACGGTGAGACACGCCCTTGTACACATCGCCAAAGGCACCCGAGCCCAGCTGGTTGTCGGGGGACCACCCATTGGTGGCCTTGAGGACCTCTACTAGTGAGAACTCCGTGCAGTGCGAGGCTGCCAGACTGCTGCCCGTGCCTGCTCGAGCACATGGCACATGGGTGCACGGAAACAGGCTCAAGCACGAGTTGGGTTGAGTAGATTCGAGTTGGGTCGAGTTGAATCATGTGCCGAGTCGAATCGGGTCAAAAACTTGTTTCTACAATCGGGAATGAGTTGCGGCTTGTCGGTTGGTTCACGGGTTAAGAAAATGGCGAATGTACCAGGGAGTTATTTCGAACCAGGCTCTGATTTCGCAGTTCTGAAACTTTACATCTTTGAACCATGTACTGCCTCAACACCTTGTTGCACTTACGTTCCAGAATTGTGTAGCCCGGGTTTACATCCACGAGGGTACAGTGAAGGGGGTTACAGACCTGTGAGCTTGTGACTGAAGTAAATGGGGGCACCAAATCACGCTGCTCGTGGGGAGTCAATCCCAATCATTCTAAGGCCAGAGATTTGAGCAGTCAAACTCGTTTCAACTTTGTTTGATTTAAGCATGACAACACTTGCAGACCTGCATGGTCATATCTAGGCTTATGCAGTGAATACCTTGCTTCCCATATTACACCATGATTGCAAACAGCCAGACACAACTGCATCGACAGACTCTGGTTAGAACGTACTCTTTTTGTGCCTGAAGTAAAGCAGAGCGGCGACCAGAAGCAGGAGAATGACCACAGCAGCAACAACAATGCCAATGATGACTCCCACTGACACTCCACCTCCACTTCCTGCTGAAGAAGAATCGCTGCTGCTGCTGCTGCTGCTGCTGCTGCTGCTGCTGCTGCTGCTGCTGCTGCTGGTGCTGGTGCTGGTGCTGGTGCTGGTGCTGGTGCTGCCGCTGCTGATTTCTGCGAATGACATGAGCATATATCAATGCACGCAATGGGGATTGCTGCAAGCTGATCAGTAACAGAGTCAGCAAGGGAGGGGTTCTTTCTTAAGTCATGCCTTGTGACGTGCAAATGCCATGCATTCCCATGTGCTGCCATGTATTCCCATGCGATAGATGCATTCCCATGCGATGCATGCATTCCCATGCATTGCCATGTCTTGCTTGCTGTACTGACATATGTTTCAGAAATAACCTTTTTCTAAAAAAACACTCTCGACACCAAAACACATTGTGCCATGCATCACACCGTGTCTTGTTGCGTTCGGCTCTGACATCATACTTGCCTGAAGTTCATTTACTCGCCTGTGGATTGGTTGGTGCAAGTATTGCAGAAGGGTTTACACATGCGGCAAAAGGATGTGGTGGGAGATTGTGTTACACCACAAGCAGAGTGGGCAGGTGGGCATGTGAGGTTGGTGCCTGAAATGTTGCTGAAGTGGAAAATGGGAGATGGAGAGGCAGAAATCGTGGGCACAGACAAAAATTTCAAGTTCAAGCAAAATAGTGGCTAATTGGTTCTGAAGGTGGAAACGGTATGGGGATGGTGACTGGGCGTTGAGACATTGCCAGCACCCTGCAAAAATCTGCAACTCCTGCAAGAGTGGTCTATTTGAGCCAAACATGTGCTTTCATTGTGGCATCAGACCAGCGTATCTCCTATCTCATGTCACATTTCAGTGAATGTGAGCGGGGTAGTGAGGAGCGAGAGGGAGGTGTACAAATTGTACATACTGTACATATCGAGCTGGGCAGTGCCGAGGATGGGAGGCGAAGGGTCAAGGTGTGGTTTGAGGTGTGCAGGGAGGCGAGTGGGTGCGAGGGAAGGGATGTCTGCCGAAGCGAAGGGGCGGGGAGTGCATGGCAGGGGTGTAGGGCGGCACTTACGTAAGAGAAGGGGAGTGCGGGGTGAAATTACAGGGCATGGCAGAGGCAGCGACGGCAGGGGTTTACCACCGGCACTTGGATGGGTGTGTGCATGCATGCTTGTTTGTTTTCCCGTGTGTGCAGGCGAGCTCTCAGGAGCCAGCTGGATCTGGGAGTGTCAGCTGGAGGCAAAGTAGCTAGAGGCGGGTAACATAGGTGGCAGGCAACGGGGATGTATGGCTTCTCGAAGGCAGCCTTGGCAGCTAGAGAGGAGAAGGATGAGGAGGAGCAGGAGCGGTGGAGGCAGAGCTGGTAGAATAGGAAGGAACCTGGCAGAGCTAGCCTTAATGCTTGTATGTTTCCTTACTACAAGAAATTTTTGCAACAACGAAGCAAGTGGTGATTGTGAAGGAGATAGTGCAAGCTATGGAGTAAGCGATAGTTTAGCGGTAGATCTATGTGACGGAGCCGGAGCTCATCACATACAAGCATTCTGGATGCCCATGCGATCGGGGCTGGATTACGCAGCGAAGGAGCAGCTTAAGGAAGGCGCAATGATGGAGAATGTGGACAGGAACGAACCCGTCCCGGGAATCAGGGTGGAGGCGCACGGCGCTGAAGGAAGAACGAAGGAAGGGAGGGGCGGAGCCACGGGCTCAGAAGAGGACCGCCATGGGCAGCGACGCGACAAGCCCGAAGAAAACAGGGAGGAGAAAGAGAAGCCGTCTCACGGTGACACCGCGACGGCTAAGCAACTGCGGAGGGAGAACGAAGGGAAGTATCGGCGCAGCGTCTCTTCGCATGGTTTCGAAGACGACGCGGCGTCGTCGCGCTGGCGCTACACCATGCTACCGAAGGTGGAGGTACCGGAGCGCTTCTCGGGAGAGGTGCGACGAGGACCATCTCTGAAAAACTATCTGATGCAGCTGGAGAACCTGCGGGCTCGGTGGGAACGCGCTCGTCTGGACGCGGATGAGTTCTTCCGAGGACTGGCGAACACATTGACTGGGGAGGCTGAGACCTATTACCGCATCTGCAGGCGGGAGTTGCTGGATTGGGCAGCGCTAGGCCGACCGGGAGAAAGGGATCCGACCAAGCGCTTCTTGGAGATGCTGCGAGTGCAATTCCCGCTGCAGACACCGGAGCGGGTGGTCGAATTTCGCGAATTCAAGCGAAAGGCGGGAGAGTCTCTGCTGGCCTACTACGGACGGTTAGTGGAATTGGCCGAGGACATGAATTGTGTGGACCAGAGCCGCCTCGTCAGCAAGTTCCTGAATGGCCTTAACTATGAGCTGCAGAGAGACGTGCAAGTGAAGATCTTCGAGATGGGAGCGGCTGCCACATTGAGCGTGGCGTATGAAACGGCGAAGCGGGTGGAAACGGGGAGGAGGCTGTTCGAAGTGGAGCGCACGGCAGAGCGGACGGCAGAGCGAAGGAGGCCAGCATGGAGCGCAGCCCCAGTGGAAAGGGAGCGGCCGCCGAGAGGCCCAGGCGACACCCGCAAGTGTCACAACTGCGGGCAAGTGGGGCACCTGAGGCGAGACTGCCGCAACCCTCCGGCGTGTTCGATCTGTGGGCAGGAGGATCATCAGAGGCGCGAATGCCCGGAGGCACCAATGTGCGGGAAGTGCGGAAGAAAGGGGCATACAGATCGGGAGTGCTACTCACGAATGGGAGAAGGGCGGGGAGACAAGCGTGAGAGAGGAGAGATGGCGGAGATGAAGGCGGAGATTGAGAGGTTGCGGGCAATGCTAGAAAAGCAAGAGGCGGGTAGAGAGAGGAAGCCGGCCATGGTGGCAAGGTAAGAGGAGGAGGAGAGCAGCGAGGAGGACTTCTGTCTCATGGCATGGCCGGCGAGGGATCGGGAGGAATTGGGATTGAGGACAAGGGAACGGAACCTGAGGCCGCGTGTGGAGGTCGGAAGGGAAGTGGGCCCCAGGAGGAGGGCAGGAATCGAGGAGGATCCGCATCCACCGCGCCGGCATCCGCTGGAGCGTCTCAGCTGCGCTGCATCCGTACTGGTGGCCGAAAAGGGATACCTGACGGTAGGAGGCGTATCCGTGAAGCAGGCTATCATCGATACCGGTGCTCACCCGGTGCTGATTGGAAGGAAGCTCGCGCAGCAGCTGCAGCTGGATCGCCCTGAGCGGCAGATAGAAGAAGGGTTGCTGCTGATGACGGCAGAGGGAGGAGGGACGAAGTGGATGCCGAAAACCAGGAGCACGGTTGAGATTTTCATCAGGCAAGGGAGTCCAGAGGAGTGTTCGGTAAAGCTGCAGTGCGGGATCTCACCATCAGAGGACTACGACCTGTTACTGAGAGTAGAGTTTCTGTACAGCATCGGGGCCACTATATGCATGTGGGAGGAGAAACTCACCTACCGAGTGGAATATTGGGAGAAGAACAGGCCAGTGGCGGAGCTGCCTGTAAGATTCATCCGACGCGAGCCACGAGAAGCATACCAGGCAGAAGTACGGACAGTGGAACAGGAACTGGGAATACTCAGCTGGGAGGAATTGGATCAAGAGCGGAGGCGCAGAGACTGGCACCGGCAGCAATGGGGAGAAGGCGGGCGGCTGAATGAGCTGCACCTGGACGGGAGCGTGTTCCAGAGGCCAATAGTGCTGCTAGAGCTGTTTGCGGGCATCAGTACCCGGCTGGCGGCAGTGCTAAAGGCGGGACTGAGGGTAGAAAAATATATCTACGTCGAGAACGACGAGGCAGCAGACCGCATGGCGTGGCATCACATCAGGAAACTGGAAGAGAGGTACCCCTCGCAGCTGCATGCAGATGCCATGCAAAAGGGAGCTGAGTGGGTATGCCACCGGGTGAAGGACGTGAAGGAGGAGGCATTAGCGCACTGGGGGCACGTGGATCTGGTCATAGCCG